TATCTTGGATTAACGTATCTCTAGCTGTTTCTCGACTCTTTTTACGCAAAGCGGAAGATCGTTTTACGCAGTAAGATTGAGTCTTATACATGATTATCTCGCTATAATAGGTGTAGTGACTTGGGACTACAAGGGCATTGTCGTCGTTAGCGTTTATAGAGTGTAATCGATGAGCTTGCCTTGTCTATAAATGTCTAGTCTCTTTCCTGTACAGCCCTGTAGTGTCTACTCACCTCGTCCATCTTTGGCATTTCTTAACAGATCCTACAGATAGTTAATTTTTTTTGAAAATTGAAGTCTATCGACTTCAATTTTCAAAAAAAAAACTTACCTTGTGTTTCTGTCTTACGCCAGCTTTTTTTGTATTCTTTCACTAAATTACTACATGTTTCACTATGAACTTCTATTGCAGGAGCCATGTCAGGACCGTACGGACAACCTGGTTACAATCCCCAGTATCAGAATCCTTACCCAGCTGGAGGTGGGCCGCCACCCGGTTGGGCTCAAGGGGGACAGCAGCAGGGTAGGTCATCTAACTTCAGTGAATATGACTAATAAAGTTGCCTAGATGGCCTGCATCATATTACTCATTAGGGAAACATTGTTCACAGTTTAGAACGTAATTGACACCATAGTGGTTCATTGTGTAGAACTGCGGAAAGCAGACATTTTTTGGGTCTTTCATATAAGTTATGCCGAAGCTAGTTGAGTCGACAACAATTATCTTCCGACGCAAATTGAGACGACTTTCTATCAGCCACTAGTTTTGCTAACTTTTTTTAAACCAAAGAACGTTATAAAGATATTAAAAAACTACTGAATATGAGAGTTCAAAGACAAAATTGATGGATTGTTGTGCATAACTGTGTTGCTGAAAATAGCACTGCTACAATGAAAGATTATTATTAAAGGTTGCGGATTTAATCACTATTATAAAAATAAGCTCAAAATGTTTTTGCGCCATTTTGAGGACCTTTTTAAAAGTGTTCAGATACATAATTTGCAGCCCCAACTCTCTTGCAATGGAAAATATTGCTTTTTCTCTGCTTACGTATTTTGTCAAGAGGTCCAACTTCACATTTTTATGTTTCTATGGCGAAGTGTTCGGGCAGCTGCTGCTG